ATAGCAAAATAAAGGGTTGGGCAACTACTCTTTTGTTTAGGCTTGGGAAGAACAATGCAAGCTTTTAAAAAATAATTTCAGCTGGATGTACGTTACTGGGCGGCCGTAAAACTTGATGGGCGGACCGCCCGCCTAAAACCCCTTGAGGAGAACACTGGTTTTTGAGATATAGGTGGAAAATTATTATACAAATTACATGTAGGTATTTAACTCAAAACTAATCAAGTCTGTGCATAGTGACTGGGTACCTATGTACTAAGTTTCATTAGAAAGTGATGATTATTTAAAAAAGAAAAATTGGTGGAAAAGCTGAAAATTAAATTATTATGCAAAACTAATTAGGTCGTCACATTGTCTTAAATCATTTATGTACATGTATTAAGATTCATTGAAATAAGATATCAATGGAAAAGCTAAAAACTGTTAGTATGCACAGATTTTAACCCAAAACTGATCAGGTCTGTGCATTGTTCAGGAGCATCAATGTAACAAGTTGTATTGAAATAAGATGATTAGTACTTGAGATATCAGTGGAAAAGTTGAACAAATGTACTAATTCTTATGCAAATTAGGTAATTAAAATGCACAGATTTTTACTCGAAACTAAACAGGTCTGCGCATTCTTCCAAAGCACCTATGTGCCAAGTTTCATTGAAATCTGACCAACGGTTCTTGAGATATCTGTGGAACACGCTATAGGGTACACACATACACTGAGACAGGGTAAATGCCAAGGCTCCCATTATGTGCTTTGAAACAAATCCATGAAATCCATTTCAATTACGACCAATAAAACACATTGATATCACAATACTTGAGACATTTGTTTAAACTAAATGTCTATTACTACTGTATAACGCTTAATTATTCGCTGGGTTAACATTCAATTTTAACAATAAAACATAATATTTTCTCCATAATTAGGTGAATTAAAACCTAGTGAATACCTCTGCAACATCAAATTCACTAATATTACAGGAAGCTGTACATGAGCAAATTTCTGGAATTATGACTTACATATTTTTGTCTGGCTTTTTGAAGGGCATCTGATTTTTCAAGTTTGTCGGCTTCTTCTCTGAATTTCTTTATACTATCCTGAGTATCAAGAATGAAAGATTAATACCATTGGTAAGAAAGAACTACAAACAACTTCATTTTACATGAATTTTTTTCAAATTTGAAGCAGTGAACATTTCATTGGGAGCATTAACCATGAACACTATAATTTCTGTCACCAAAATTTTATGTAACTGACACGACAAAATAAAATGGCCTACAAATATTACAAGTTTTTGTCACACTGGTCTATTTTCTTAGTACACAACCTGACAAAAATCTTGTTGGTGCCACAGTCAAGTACTTGACTAGCAAGTCTGCTAGCTAACATGCTGCAGTGGTGATTAAACGCTAGATGCCGCAGTAGTAAGACAGGGAGCAACAGTGAACATTTCACCAGATTCCACAAGACAGGGAACAGGTCACTATGAAATCATGAGAATTTTAAAGTTTACTGTAGTTGGCATACGATTAGAAAAATAAACTTACTTTCATTTCTTTATTTTTTGCAAATTCTTGTTTGACATTTTCAATAAATTCAGCTAAAAAGCTTTTTCTGGCTGGTTGATTTGAATAAAACTGAACCTGTAGAAATAAATATGCAAAATAATGTTGGTACGTACAATCGTCACTTACTAAGCAAATGCATAGACACACCACCTATGTCATTTTGGTAAGTACTGCATCTAATATTACTAATAACATTTAGAGGTGTTTCTGTGGTCAAAATAAGTGATATTTCATTGATATAGTATACAACAAATGCATTTTTTTGTTTTATATGTGCTGCTTTCTAATAGAACAAATATAGTAGTATAAACACTGAATACCATTTTGAATGAAATATGGTATATAAGTGATTGGAAAGAAATAATCGATTCCCCAAGCAGGTTGTGACAAATTATGAGCACATGTTGTATATGCATAAGCTGGACATTACTGTTGTACATTGTACCTACCATGATAGAGAAAAGGTTGGTAATGGAAACAATGACTTTATTTGAAAATTTTTTTTTCATACTTTCATGTAAGAAATGGAATGTTTCAATCGATCATGTCTAGATATCATCCATCAGTGTTTCCATGAATGTCCTGTGACACAATTGAAACTGGATGCAAACATACCTGATAATTTGAATCGCCTTGAAAGAACTTGTGTATTGCACAAGTCCCGTAATATTAAGGAAGAGTTTCATTTTCTTTTTGAATGCCGATGGTGCCAGTACCACAGGAATATTATTTTGCCCTGCTGAGCTACTTGAGAATAATGTAACTATAAATGGGTGAATCTTTAGACAAGCATGGTCCAAAATGAAATAGGTAACCTATCAAGTTTTACTGACATGATTTCTAGGCTAAGGAAAGGCGCATTGCATGAAACTGTTGGTCATATTTTTATATTGATTGATAGTTATGTCAATGTTGCGATGAGTTGGTGGTCTATATATATATATCAATGAACTTTATTATTATATATTTTTCAGTTGTGAAGTGACTGCATGTCTTAGAACATCACAGACATGTGTACTTACTTGTTGTAGCCTGAAGTCCAAAGGATCATGAGAATGTTGTTTCACTATCAGTACATGACCTGATGCAGGTCGATGACACAGTATTCGTCTATCATTACATACACACTATAAATGACATAAAAAAATTTACAGTCAGCACAGAAGTAATTTTCTTGAACTAAATTGCCATGGTATCTTTGATTTCCGAGCAGTTTTACCGGGTAGTCCATATGAAATACACTAATCACTAAGTTTTTACTATTCTGCGACATGATTGTATCCGTGGCGAAAAGTCCACTTAAAGGGGGCGGTAGTAGCATGCACAAGATATATGGGTCTCATATAAACAAAGATGGACACTTTGACTGTTGCGCAGATCAACTAGTACAAATTGAGATATCACCAAGCTCTAATTAGGTATTTTTTTAGGTGATTGGAAGGACTCACTGGCAGTAATTAGTGCAAGTTGCGCCCAGGTCAAACCTCATACTTGTGATTTGCATTAGATGAGTGCGTTGGATTGTGGGAAAATCAATGTTTATCAACACCAATGTCGCACATGCGCAGGGCGACGACTACCGGCCTTTAATATCGCGATCGTCAAAATATGACCCTGGAGCAACAAAATCATGGCTAAGCAATAAACCCAAGCAGAAGTCAAGTTTAGCCCTGAGTACAGTACTGTAGGTTGGCCTTCTTCCGCTGATCATTCGGCCCCCACAGTCCTGAGAAGTCGCATGACCGGCGATTTGACACCTGCCTACAAATTTATGGCGAGAGCCTTTCTACAGTTTTCATGATTGTA